GCTCATACCCACCAAGCAGTAATGGGTACCTGGCTTCGAGCAGGGGAAGTAAAGACGGCGTGGAAAGGAACTTGCCACCCTATCACAATATGCCAAAGGCCCAGGAAGTTGTCTCACTAACAAGGCAACCCCTAATGTCAGGATCGGAAGCGGGAACAACTTGACAACAACTTACTAATGAACGATTTTGTCCCCACAAAATTAATACTTGGAACCATTAACGTCGACTGAATTTCTATCAGTCATTTCGCTACACTAGAATAGAAATACGACGTTTTATCTGCGCGATACTGAATTCGATGATTTAAAAAAAATGAGTTTCCCAACATGGAAAGCTTTCCGAAAACGGATTTTCCCGTAGTTGTTCTCGATGACGTAATGTTTGTTGCTATAGAAACAACCAACTACCATCTTGATTTTTCGTGTAAACAGCTCACACAAAGCGAAAATATAACTAAATTGCGGTTGATGTTGTTGTGGTTGTTGTTGTTGTTTTCAAAGCCCTTTAGCTGCCAGCATTTCGCTCTTGGCAGCGCAATGCCTCCCTCAAGTAACCACATTGATGTCCTTGTCATCTGGTCAACGCCAGAGTAGAGCAGGCTTTGTGAGTCTGTAGGTGTGTGTAGGAGCCTGCGTCGAAGAACTGCCAAGTTTGGGCAGTGAAGGAGAAGACGTTCAACGGTCTCCTCGTGGTAGTCACAGTGTCTGCGGCTGATAAATTGCTACGTCAGAATTACAGTTATATCTCACATTTTTGCCTTTTTTGAGCTAATAAGATCATGAGGTCAGAGACCAAAAGTTCTTACTGCTGTATCATGGCATTGGACAGAAGGGCGAGAGCCCAGATGTTGCTGTATCGATAACAACAACAACAACAACAACAACAACAACAACAACAACAACAGCTCTATCAAAATTGAAGGCTTATTCGGAGTCGTTATCAAGATATTCAAACAATGTCTAATTCATAGGATAGGATCAGAGTCAGGGCAAAGTTGATTTTCTTAATCAGCCACTACCAGTAGATCGTCTCTCTCTCTCTCTCTCTCTCTCTCTCTCTCTCTCTCTCTCTCTCTCTCTCTCTCTCTCTCTCTCTCTCTCTCTCTTCGCTCTCTCTCTGTCTCACACACACACATACACACAGTC